TCATAACAAGTACGGCGATGATAGCCGGTCAGTACTAATAAGGTTTTACAAGTTTTTTACAAGTTATAAATTCCTTATAAAACTTTATAAGTACCTTGTAAAACCTTTTAAAATACATTGTAAAACCTTACAAAACACTTGTAAATACTTCGTAAAACCTTTAAAATACCTTGTAAATTTTTCCCGCCAAAAATTTTCCCGCCAAAAAAATTTCGCCAAAAAAATTGCGGAATCACTTTTCCCGCAAAAAAAAATTTTTGGCGGGAAAATTTTTTGGCGGGAAAAAATTTTACGGGAAAATTTTACAAGGTATTTTAAAGGTTTTTTACAAGTGTTTTGGCGGGAAAATTGGGAGATCACTTTTCCTCCCAAAAAATATTTTGTATTTTGTGGACCTAATTTTGTTTCAAATAAGGGTAAAATGGTCATTAAAAATTAAAAGAGGGCAAACTTAAAAATGGACTCTCAAAGGGGGCATTTTTGAAAAGGGGTATTGAAAAAGGGGCATTTTTAACAATTTCTCAAAAATCTTTGAGTGAAAATACTTTAAAAAAATAAAACAATTGTCAGAAAACATAAAAGGAGTCTCACGTTAAACTCCAACTCTCAAGAAAATGAAAACATAATCACAACTGTATTTATATAAACGACATAGTATAAATGGCCGTATTAATCCGTATAGCACCGTATTGAGCCGTATGACACCGTATACTGGCTGTATTGAGCTGTATAGCGGCCGTATTGAGCCATATAAGCGACCGTATTTAGTCCAACCGTATTTGTTAAACGCATAGCTTAAAAACAGTATATACAGCCGCCTAGGGCGTATTTTAGAACACTGCTTTCACCTACATTTGATGTAATACATTTTCGAATGATCTATTCCCACCTCCTTTACATTGGATTAAAGTTTCTCAGACATTTTATTCAAATCAAAAAATTCTCTAATCTCCCAATGGTTACTGTAAAACTACTGATAAAGAATCATCTGAAGGAACAAAAATTCCTAAGCGATTGATAGTTATGATCATTGATGAATCAACAGAAAGAAGATTAAGCAACAGGAGGAAGGTTTTTGTGATCACGAGACGTATCACGGTCAGCAGGAGGTAAGGGTGACCACATTGGCATGTTTGGAGGATAGTAACCGTAACCCGAATAAACCGGCATATTATTGGGATGGAAAGCTACTGGATGCTGTGAGGGCATGAAACCCGGTGATGGAAACGCCATAGATTTCAACTGTTGCACCATCTTCTCCTTATCCGCCTTCAACACCAGCTTTTCCTCCCGTAACTCGTTTTTCTCCGCCTATTCCAGACAGTTAAAACCAAAATCAAGATACTGAAATCGGAAACATTTTCCGGTAGAAACTACAAAGACTACTTGAATTGTGTTCCTCATCTAATAAGCAGATGGATAGGAGTAATAGGACAAAGTGAGAAACCAACCTTTAGATTCTTGATCTCTTCCAGAAGCTTCTGGTTGGTTTCTTTAAGCTCATGAGCTTCACCTCTAAGCTGATTCACAACCCGAATAGCATCATTGAGTATAGCTGATTTATCCGTCTTTGGAGTCCTGCCAGGCTCCAAAACAGAGCTCAAGTCCATGAACCTGAAAAACACCCAATATTCTTTCATATGAGGCAACTGCAGAACAACACAGTGCAGACAATAACTAAACATGCGGGTTAGGCAAAGCTCTGAACATACTTGTCATTTAGCTTTTCCCTTCTCAGTTTCTCGCGACAGGCTTTGGTTCCTGGCTTGTTACATGATCCATTTCGTCCCCTGTTAATAGATAATCACATCAAACAACGAAATGGATGCTAAAGTAGTCACTGTAGATAGCCAAACAACAAGATCACACAATGACACAACATGGTGCAAGTTTAGGTAATTCGAAACAAGACCAAACTTGTGGAGACCAAGACAAGAAATCATTAATAATTTTACTTAAAGAAACACACAACACCGCAGAAAACAACCAAAGTAGTTCTTGAAACCATCAGAACAAAGAAATGTAAAGAGCAAGGTATTCAGATTCTCTTAAAAGACTACCTCTTTCGCGAACATTCATCCTCAACATGTTCTAACTCTTCCTTAACACCTCCAACCGACGAGGAAGAATTGATTTCCACTACACCGTTACACACTTGTCCTTGTTCCTGCTGCAAATGATTTGCTGCAGAATCGTCGTTTTGTCCTCTAAAGCCACAGACTTGATGAGTCTCTTGCTGCAAAACTCCACTAAACGATGCAGCCCAATCCAATTGTGCTGATCCAATACTACTACTATAAACAACTCCATTGTTTTCCCCTCTAAAGCTACAAACTTGTTCAAGATTTCCACTAAAAGAATCAAATTGTGCTCCAATGTTACAACTTTGTTCTTGTTGTGGCTGCAGATTCAAACCACAGGACCCAAAATCCTGAAAGATGTTATCCTCATTTGTCTGAATATATGCATAAGGATCTACTACTCCATTGCTACAGAATCAAGGTAACAACAAACTCCATCAACAACAAATCCCTAGAAAAACTTTTGGTATTCAAAATCAAAACTTTTGGTATTTACAATTGAAATTGGATTGAAAATTAGGAAACCTGTGAAACCCAGATATCAAAAGGCACAATACAACACAATTGAACAATAAAAATCAAACCTTTGATCAAAACAAAGAGCAGCGAGAAGATCATCATCGTCGTCAATTGATTGATACATCAGAAGAATAACAACAATGAATGTATCAAAAGGGTACTCACAAAATACAAAAAAAAAAATGTATCCCTTAGAAAATTTGAGGAGATATACTGTTGTGTTAGAGATTGATATATATAAAACTGGAAAAATCTTTTGTTATTGGAAAATATATTAAAGATTTGAGGGAATTTTGGAATGTTATTCTCGAAAAAAAAAACACATCGAATTTAACAAGAAAATCGGAATCGGATTTATATTAATAAAGAAAATAAATAAATGAGGGGATTTTAGAAAGCCACGCATTAAGCAAATGAAAATGGTTGGGTAGTGAAGAGAGTCGTTCAGTGTTGGACCGCTTTTCTAAAAAAGGCGGGCCATTACGTTCTGTTTTTTTTTGTATTGGTCCGATTTTTTATTACTTTTTTCTTAGACTAATTATGTTTTATTTTTGTATACTTTAAAGTTTTAGTATGTTTAAAGTTTAAAGAGTTAATCTGTATTATCGTTTCAATGTGGTCTCAAGTCTCAACGTATCATTGAGTAATAACTAATCTCAATTGTACCAAGATAAGTGAATTGAATCGCGTCGGCCTGATATAATCGTATCGCATTAGCGTGATATATTGGTAAAAAAATCTTTTAACACTATTTTTATGACAAAATAATTAAACAAATATTTATGACATCAATAGTACTAAAGTTGTATTAAATTTCTCATTTTTCTATTTGTATTATGCTTCTAAAACTTTAGACACGACCCGGAAATAAAAGAAGTATATACTAGTATTTAGTTTTGTCTATATTTTAGAGAGCGAGCAACATCCACACACTCAATAGAAGGCCAAACCAAATGACTTGTTTGGTCAAAAAGTCGAAGACTTGAAAGAGTTGGCACTTGACATGGAAAAAAAATCTAACTTTGATAAAAGCAGGAACAAAAAAATGACACAAAGTGGGAAAATGGCCAATCGAAGAAAAGGAAAGACAAGTGAAGCAGTGTGAAGATCATTACAGTGAAAGAATCAAAGAATCATTATAGTCAAACGTTCGTTGGCGTTTTCAAACGTCGCATGCAACCTTCGAATTTCAATTTTCAAGCATATATATCTTTGATATTATTTATTCATTATATTATCCAAGTAATTTTAATCTTGTGTCAATGCTAATTCGATTTCTTTTGTTTTGCTTTCTACTTAAGTACTTATAAAAATATATTTGAAAACTCAAAATTATCATTAATCCAACATCGGAAATGTTATATATATGAGGTAATACTCATTATTAATTAACTTCAAGTTAAAATCTATGAAACTTAATATAATATTAGAGACTATATTTGATCCACGTAAAGTGGCTTAGATAGAGTATATATATTTGCAGTGTGATTAAGTTTGAAACTTGACGGAAAACCATTATCTCGAAAAGAAAGTATTAGGAATCTTACATCGAAAATATGATATGACTTAGAGTAATATATAAGTGATATCAGTCCGTCTAAAAATTACCAATTAGTTTTGAGTTGAAAATCATTATACTTAACAAAAATGAATAATTCTATTGAATGTTCAAGTTGTTCTCCTACGTATATTTTGAGATGAAGATGTTTTTATACTATTTGGGCCTAAATTATATCCTTTAATCCAATATATGGCCTTCAATGGTGGGAAACAATTCGTTGGGTCTAGTTTTTGGGTGGCAGAACATAAGAGGCCTAACTTCTTGATAGTTTTTTTTTTTTAACCTAACTTATAAACTGTTCATTCTGCAACTTTTTGTAGTGATATAATTTAATATAAATATAATCATACTAAAAACATATATATATATATATATATATATATAATTTGATCAGATATGTTTACAATATACAAAATTTTAATTCATTTCAATTATATTTATACTTAGTAAATGTGGTTTTTTTTTTACATCTATAATCGATAACTTAGGTTTCTGTTTTTTTCTTTAAAAATAACCTTAAAGCTTAAATAACTTGTCGATCGTGCGTTAAAGAGAAGAGCTATTCAAGCAGCCCAAATATCACTCAAGTTCGTAGGACCTATTTACAGAAAATTTTCATGAAAAAAATTAGAACATTAACTTTTCGTGTATAATGCATATTAATTCTATTAAATCATTTCGATGTAGAAAGAAAATCATAACTCGTTAATACATATTAGTGCGGCCAAAATTATAAGATTTCATCAAATTACTTTTCAACTTCTGGTCAATGAACAAAGTGACAACTAAACCAAATAATAGTAGCATGCTTTATCAAAAATGCACAAATATTTTATATTATCTAAAAGTGTATCATGTTTTACCTGTCTTTATAACTTCAGAATCACACACATTTCTATGTGTTTGGTGATGGTCAAATTGAAATTTAAGAGACTAGAATCTACTACACGTGCGGTCAAAGTTGACACGTGAGACAATTAATTGAAGGAAGAAACAAAAAAAAAAAAAAAAAGCTTGACCAACAACAAAAAAAAGTGAGAGGCTGAGAGCATTTTTGGTCCGTCGTCATAAAAATACTTTCTTTCAATTTAGCCGTCTCCTTGACCATCCAGATTCAATGATTCATTGGACTTCACTCACTTTTTTATTTTTTCATTTTAGTCCCTCAATTGTTGCTAAATTATACAATAGACACATAGCAGCCGCAAATCAAGTTGTTTCTAATATTTGCAGTCAACCCCAATAATTTTCTTTAATTTTACGATGGCACGAATATATTGTTATTTACAATTTACCCCCTGATTTAACTTTATATACAATTTAAAGGAGGCTTTTGAACAGACACGTGCGTTAAAATAACATCCACTAGATTCTCTAATTGAGTCACATTACTTCCACGTATAAATTGTCATTACTATCAACTCATGTTACATGCAAAAACAAAAACCCTTAAAGCTTTCATGGAACATAGAGAGACTTATAACACGAATGAGGTGAAATACAGAGGCGTACGAAAGCGTCCATGGGGGAAATATGCGGCGGAGATACGCGACTCAGCTAGACACGGTGCTCGTGTTTGGCTTGGGACGTTTGACACAGCGGAAGACGCGGCTCGGGCTTATGATAGAGCAGCTTTTGCCATGAGAGGCCAAAGGGCCATTCTCAATTTCCCTCACGAGTATCAAATGATGAAGGACGGTCCAAATGGCAGCCGAGAGAATGTGGTGGCTTCCTCGTCGTCTGAATATAGAGGAGGAGGTGGTGGTGACCGGAAGGAAGTTATTGAGTTTGAGTATTTAGACGATAGTTTATTGGAGGAGCTTTTAGATTATGGAGAGAACTATAACCAAGACACTTGGAACGACGCAAACCGTTAGATCGATTGTCACTTCTTGTCTTCCTTCAACCGTTAGATCATCACTACTTACTTACAGTATCTAATGGGTGATGTTATTTTTCTTGCTTTTGGGGTAAAGAGTATTAATCAATATGATATATTTTTTCTTTAGTTTAGGAAGTTATTCTGTTGTGTTTCAATTTTCCCGGGAAAATTTAAATTACTAGTTGTCACAAGTTTGTTGGTAGTCAGTAGTCACTATACATTGTTGGGCTTCAGGTTATAAAATAGACTTGGCCCAAATTACTGGCTAGAATCTGAAAACTATCCTACGATATCATTGATCTATACCTCGAACACTATTTGTTACTTGCGGAACATGAATAGAGAGTACTATGCATTTGTCTTTATTACGTTTTTTTTTTGGTTTAATGTTAAAATTTGTCTTTATTACGTTATAACAACATTTGTCTTCACAATAATCATTGAGATAAAAAAAAAAGTCTTTACACCAGGAGGAATTCCAATCCGAAATCCAAACTAATCTCCGAGACCAACAATTTTTTTTTATAATTATTATTAAAACGTCTATAGATGACCGATTTCGAAGTGCAAAATTTTGCTTGGCGTATTTGAGAGAAATAACTAGAATGAACTTATTATATTCCTTTTTAAAAATGTGGATATTCTATATTGTTCAAAATAATGGCATCGAGTTTGTGAAGTTGTGATAGAGTATAGTCAGTAAAAGAAAGAATTTTATATTAAGAATCATTTGAAAAGTAACCTTTCTTTCTAGTCGAATTTCTTCCCTAAAGATGTTGGATTGGAAATTGATGCAGCCTTTTTTTGTCAACAAGGTCTATTGGTTTTCTTACTCAACTATTTGCTGTGATGT